AGTACATGAACATCTGCAAATATCAAGGATTTCAACAATACAAATTTTACGTGAGTAGCAGCTTCAAACCAAAAGGAATAAATTACTGAACACCCCCCTCCATCATATGCCTCAAAGAGGCATCCTTAGCATTACACTTCCAACATCTATCTGTATTCAACAGTGGCTTCCTACACAAATTCTGTGGAATCCAATATACTCCAAATAATAATTGGATCAATCTCAATTTCAGGTACTAGGAAACATTCCATATGGATTCTAAAGCAATTTTCCATTGTTTAGGCTGTATAATTCCTTGTTCCACACATCCCTGTTGTACAAGTTCCTGAACTCCCACCAAAATCCATAAAGCATTTATAAACAATGGTTATGGGTTTAGTTTTCTGTAAAAAATAATCCAATAATCCCCCCCCCCCCAGTTTTGAAGATGCCAACAGCACTGAGAACCGATAGGCCATAGGCAGTGCTTGTTTTAAAGGGGAGGGTGTGTGTGCCAGTACTTACTTTAAAGTTGTTACAGTGAGTGCAATACTTTTAACCTTTTTTTGAAAGGGGTGGGGTGCTAGTACTGCATACCCTTGAATACCCCCAGGAAAAAAAGCACTGGGTAGGAAGGGTTAACCCATTGCAGTGTGCTGTGAATCCTGTTTCCACCCAAAATGCCACCCATGGCAATTAGATCTGCAAAGAGCCTCCTAGCAATATTCACACCTAATATCAGGGGGCAGGAGGAGTGAGAGTCTGGGGTTGTGTGGGTGAGATAAAAAGAGATAATGAATGAATTGCTGTGTGTTTTATGTGACAATGAAAGAGAGAGAGAGAGAGAGAGAGAGAGAGAGAGAGAGAGAGAGAGAGTAGCCCTCCCACTCCATTAAACTCCCACTCCTATTGGCTATTCTGGCTCAGAATAGCCTATTGGCCCAGAATAGCCTATTGGCTATTGGCTATTCTGGCCCAGCCAGAATAGCCAATGGTCAGGGATGATGGGAATAAAAGCCCAACAGTATCATTAGAGGGCACCATATTGGCTACCCCTCATGTGCATGGATTTGCGCAAAAGAGAATGTGAGTGCAGCCTCACTACTTTTTGCATTGTACCTGCACACTTCTGCATTGGCCCCAACTACCACTGACATGCGGCCCCTTGAAAGCTTCCCGGCTCTGCTTTACTGATTTTGGAACTTTGCCATCTGCTGGATTACTAAACACAGTGATGTAAAAAATAAAAGGCAGGTTTTCATTCAAGGCAAATGTAAAAAGTTGTACTGCTTCCATCTCTGTCCACATAGAAAACCATGCTTGCGTAGATGCAAGGACATACACACCCAACCACACCCTGAAAACTGAACATGCATAATTCCCATCTCAACTGGCTAAACCAGTTTGGCATGGAAGGGAGTAATACTGCTACCAGTGTCCTGGGATTTAGAGCAAGCTAGGCTTTCAATACAAATACAAAGAAATATTTCTTTGAGGACAGTGGGTGGGGGAGTGAAGGGAAGGGAAAGGGTTGTGTGGCGAGAGAGGTGTTATGATCTGGGAGAAAAGATCTAATTATTGAGTGGGTAGGAAAACAGAGGAATCGGACAGTGGGCAGAGGTTAGGGAGGAATGGAATATGAATGGAAAAGGTATAAAGTGAAGCCTGAACACAATCCATCCCAACTGCATGTAAGATGAAAACAAAAGCACGATATTATGCATCAGTAATAGCCGATGTGTTGGTGGCAGATGTTGTTGGACTACAGTTGCCATCAGGCTCTGTCAGTGTGGCCAATGGCCAGGGATGATGTAAGATGTAGTCCAAAGCACCTGGATGACACCATATTGACTACTCCTGTTCTACCTGTCATCATCAGTGGAACCATACAGTGGTACCCCGCAAGACGAACGCCTCGCAAGACGGAAAACCCGCTAGACGAAAGGGTTTTCCGTTTTGGAGGCGCTTCGCAAAACGAATTTCCCTATGGGCTTGCTTCGCAAGACGACAGCCCATATGGAAATCTCAGGGACAGCGGGAAGCGCAGCGCGTCTTCCCACTGTCCTCGGACCTCCTCCGAAGCCTGGCGGCGGGGCGGGGACACCTCCTCCCGCCGCCGCCGGGCTCGGAAGGCTCCTCCGAAGCCGGGCGGGGAGGGAACACCTGCCGCCGCCGCCCGGCTTCGGGACGGTGCTCCGAGCCGGGCGGGGGGAGGGAACACCTGCCGCCGCCGCCCGGCTCGGGACGGTGCTCCGAGCCGGGCGGGGGAGGGAAGACCTCCCCGCCGCCCGGCTCCGGAACGGTGCTCCGAGCCGGGCGGGGGGAGGGAACACCTGCCGCCGCCGCCCGGCCCGGGAACGGTGCTCCGAGCCGGGGGGGAGGAAGACCTCCGCCGCCCGGCTCGGAACGGTGCTCCGGGCCGGGCGGGGGGAGGGAAGACCTTCTGAAGGCGGGCGGGGGCGAAAGTCTCTGCTCCCCTGCCTGCCTGTCCCGGAGGGCTTTGAAGGCGGGGAGCAAGACTTCGCCCCCGCCCGCCTTCAGAAGAGGTCCAGGACCTCTTCTGAAGGCTGGCGGGGGCAAAGTCTTTGTCCCCCTGCCTGCCTTCCCAGGGGCTTTAAATTGCCCCGGACAGCGGAGAAGTCCTCCGCTGTCCCGGGTGATTTTAAATGCCGCCCGCCAGCATTTTAAGATCGCCTGGACAGCGGAGAAGTCCTCCGCTGTCCCGGGGTTTTAAAATGCTGGGGGTGGGAAGAAAAGCCCTTGCCCCCAGCCTTCAGAAGAGGTCCGGGGACAGACTGTCCCCGGACCTGGTCTGAAGGCGGGTTCCCTAGGAACGCATTAATTGATTTTCAATGCATTCCTATGGGAAACCGTGCATCGCAAGACGAAAAACTCGCAAGACGAAGAGACTTGCGGAACGAATTAATTTCGTCTTGCGAGGCACCACTGTACATGTGGTATGTAAGAAAAACCCACAAAACAGAGCAATAGAGGCAGTTTTCTGAGCGGGGAGGGGGACACAACCAAGGTTGCAGTCATTTCTCATGCCATAAGACGTACCTCTTCAACAAGCATGTATCTCGAAGTTCCAAAATGGCCTTTAGCTATTATGCAATTCCATCTCCAATACTGCCTGTCCATCATCTTGTGACTCAATTGCACATTCCACATACGTTTTAACCAACAGGCACCTACTGCCATCCAACTTAAGACAGATGCAGGTACAGCCTAAGGTCAATGGCTTCAAGCAGGGAGCTGCATCACATTTGCAGAACCCACTCTCACAACATCACAACCCACCTTCATCACAAACTTTGACAAAATCGTCAATTCCAACCACAAGGACTTGTATGGGAAAGTGTTCATATTACACTTCAAAGACTGACACCATTCGAGATTTCTTATTCTGGTGCGGAGGGGAGTATTTGTTAAGAAACTGCTTGAAACAACTTTGACATTATCAGCAAAACAACCCTCCCCTCCCCCAACATAAAACATTTCAAGAGGTCCCGAAAAGCTAATGAATAAATTGCCCAAATAAGCATTTTGCCACTTGCCATTTGCCATAAATACATTAAAGAGCAATTTCCAATTTTAAAAAAGAACTCCGTGCACTGAGGGTCTAAACACTCATGTCAAATTTTTGATCTCATGACCTTCCATTTACATTCTTGCCTGAGATATTCTTGGAAGTTGAATAACACCAAGTGGGCTGAAGCAGTCATCGCCAGCTACCATTCTTTTGTACTGCTCCATCTTCTCTCCAAATATAATTATATAAAATGTTTTTCCCCTACCAAACACATTTTTCTTGCTTGCATTTGCTGATAGGAAAAAAAATGGCATGGAAGCTTTTGTTTGATGAAACTGAAACTTGGCTATTAGAAACTTTCTCCTACTTTAGGCATAAATACATTCAAGCATCATTGCTGAACTGTCAAAAAAATGCAGTCTTCTAAGACATTTCAAAGTGTTAGCTTTACGTAATCATGTAAATACTTTTCTCCAGCAGATGTTTTGCCCAAACGTGGCAACAGCAAGCATACAAACATATAAAAGGGATGGTCTTGATCCTTCAAAGGGTTTAATGCATGCCCCAATCCCACTTCCCTCTCCTCCCACTGCTGAAACACAAATGTATGTACTTACACTATATGTACTTACCTATGAGTAAATCTTACTGAATTTGGCCAGACTTACTTCTGAGTAGGCATGCATAGGATTGCCCTGCCAGACACATTTTTCATCCTTACAGTGGGGGACAGAGAATATCCCCCAACAATCTGGCAGAGAAAGCAGCAGCAAGATCTGTCCACATGAAGATCCAAGTGTATAATATCCTCATTTTAAAGTGCGATTTATACACTGAAGATGCACAGCAGCACATCATAAACCTTTCCACTGCCTGAGGGATATCTCTACATTACTTCAGCTCTGGCCTCCCAGCAAATATCCTTCTTTGAGCCAAAATCCATAATCCTTCTTTTGACAACTTTGCAAAGTGTCGAGTCCTCTGTTAATTCTGGCTTTGGCAGCAGCTGACTCCCTGGGAGTCGGTCCCATCAACTATGTCCTACTCAGAGTAGACCAACTGAAATGAATGGGCCCATTAGTCATGTCCGCTGAATTCAGTGGGCCTACTCAGAGTAGGACTAGCAGTGGGCACAACCTACTGAGACCTACTTCCAAATGAATATGCTGCATGAGGTTCCCCTCCCCCTTTGTCCTTCTGAGGTGAAGCATAAAACCAAGAACAAACTATTGCATAAATGTTTCAAGATAACTCTTTCAGAAGGGGATGAAAATATTGGGGGTGGAGGAACAACAGCCGAACAAACAAAAAGTGAAATCCAGACTCTGAAAGCATTTGCTGACTGCCAAGGCATAGCCTTTACTGCTATTGAATTCAGTGACAAGGCAATAAAAGATCCTTTCTCCTTGGCAAGAACCCGTTGACTGGCTCCCACAGCTGTAAACATCCCTGACCATGACCAAGCAAAAACCAAGACAATGCAACTCACGCAAGTTGTTTGCAGGAGGTCTCGTTTCCATGTTCTCATAGTGCTGCACGTGGACCACAATGTTGAGATCTCGTTCCATGTGGTCTGTTGTGCAGGGAGCTTCTGGTCTCATAACATCAGCAAGAGCCCTAAAGAATGGTGGGAAAGGGGAAAGAGTTAGATGCAGCCTTCCATAAAACCTTTGGCGCTCTCTCCCCCTCTCTCCAGTGTGGTGCAGTGGTTAAGAGCGGTAGACTCGTAATCTGGTGAACCAGGTTCGATTCCCCACTCCTCCACATGCAGCTGCTGGGTGACCTTGGGCTAGTCACACTTCTCTGAAGTCTCTCAGCCCCACTCACCTCACAGAGTGTTTGTTGTGGGGGAGGAAGGGAAAGGAGAATGTTAGCCGCTTTGAGACTCCTTCGGGTAGTGATAAAGCAGGGTATCAAATCCAAACTCTTTTCTCTCTCTCTCTCCTGCCCTGGAAATAGACTCTTAAATTTTAATTTTGGTAGATCCCTTCCCACTAACAGCAAACTTTGTGAGCCCATGCCAACAGGACAGAAGCCCAAACTAAACCACTAAAAACAAAATGGAGGTATCAACCAACTTGGGTGCCTCCTGAGATACGAGAAATAAAAAAACACACACACAAAAGGGTTTTTTGAAATTCCTTTTTTAAAAAAGACATACAATGAAGACTGAGGGTGCTCCGTCAACTCCAGGAGATATCTAATGATGGGAAAGAAAACCAGAGAAACAGTAGAATGTCATGCTTGAGGAGTTCACACATGGCTGGCTGGAACCCTGGACAGGAGTATTCATATTTGAGTGGGAAGATATACTGCAACAGTTTGTGGTGGCTGCAACTTGTTATCAGAGCAGCGGAAGCTTCTTTTTAGAATGTTCCTTTCCGAAGTGAGGACTCAGGGGAAGAGTCCATGAACACAAACACACATATACTTTGCAAATGCTACTTCTGTCTGTTTTGTGGTTTTGCTGGAGGTGTAGACACTTTTGGATGAGGCCAGCTCTCAAGACCCCCAAGCAAATATACCACCTTCATGCTGATTTGATTTCATGATGTCATCTGAAGCTATATATTTCCCACATTCTGGATTCTCGTGGGTTTGTTTATAAAGCTCCCAGAAGCATTGCCTCCAGTAGAATTTCTCCATACTCCACCCCACTTTGTGCTCACAGAAATGGGTGAGATCTTCACCAACTTCACCATCTGCAGTAACTTTGACACAGCTGGCAAAGTTGGGCAAACTCTACAGGCACAAGGATGGGCGAATGTGTCCATTTCAGTTTCTCTCGGCTTCACATTTCCTCAGTTCAGTTCTCCACAATTCTGCATCAGCTTGATCCCCCCCCCCAAAAAAAAATCCTCAAGGAAATTCATCAGCATTTTTGTGCAAATTTCTCCTGATATACACATTTTTCTTTGCCGTTTTTCCTAATATACACATCTTGCAAAGCAACTTTCCCTAACATGATCCTTCTGAGTATGGTATTTTCAGTATCCTATGCACACTTTACCCTGGTGTATACCTAGTTGTACATATTACTTGCAACATCTGCAGAAGTGTGAGTTTCCAAAGATGGCTGTGTTTGAGTCCGTGTATTGTTTCAGAAAGAAAGTGCTAGTTAGGTTAGGTTTGCCTTTAAAATCAAATTTCTTCCCCATTCCTAGTTGGGAATAAATCACTTTGGGCAGCCTAGTTTTTATGAGGTCCCGCCTAAGATTACTACTAAATGAAAACCAGTCCTGCAATATGGCAGGGGAAAGGAATGAGTATGTGGTTTCCCAGAAATATATATCTATTTAAAAAATGGCTCATAGCTTTCTCCTGCCATATTCCAGCACTCATGGAAATTGATAAAATGAGCATCTCATCAGAACATGTCCTGGTCCTGTAGTGCTCCTTTGGTCTGATCAGCCTAAGATGGAATCTAACATATTGGCAACAGCTTTGCTGACACCCATCTGGTGTGGCCTCGCAATGCACCTGTGGGTCCTGACCCACTGACTGGAGACCTATGATTTAAACCAGTGGCTCCCAAAAAATTACCAGGTCCGCTAAGAGGCAAGCAGGTAGCAAGCAAAGGGGCACTGGAGATGTAAATTACTATCAGACTTTGAAAAGCTGTTATCACTGGATCAAGTTCATCAGTATGTTGAATTAATTACATGAAATAGTTTTAATTGGACTTTGAATAAATGTGAATCGATTGTGACTGTTTTGAATTTTTTTGTGTTATTATCTCCCTCAGTGACGCAGGTGGCACTGTGAGTTAAACCACAGAGCCTAGGACTTGCCAATCAGAAGGTCGGCGGTTCGAATCCCCACAACAGGGTGAGCTCCCGTTGCTCAGTCCCTGCTCCTGCCAACCTAGCAGTTCAAAAACATGTCAAAGTGCAAGTAGATAAATAGGTACCGCTCCGGCAGGAAGGTAAACGGCGTTTCCGTGCACTGCTCTGGTTCTCCAGAAGCGGCTTAGTCATGCTGGCCACATGACCCGGAAGCTGTACGCTGGCTCCCTCGGCCAATAAAGCAAGATGAGCACCGCAACCCCAGAGTCTGCCATGACTAGACTTAATGGTCAGGGGTCCCTTTACCTTTACCTTTATCTCCCTTAGTGGGTCATGCTGACTACTGTTCTGGTTATGCTTTTTATAGGGTAGGGGGCACTGGGGGTGGATTTATAGAACCAAGGGGCAATGATCACCCCACCAAAAAAAAAAGCTTTAGGAACCACTGATTTAAACCATGCCAGGGTCCCTGGTCTGGCTGGGCCCTTCTAGATAGCATAGATTATATAACCACTAACCAAGTCTGGATGCTACTGACAGAAACGTGCAGCAAAAAGGGGAGGAGAAAATTAATCCAGATTTTTTTCTTTTTTACTCTCAGACTGTTGGAAGTCTCTTTTAATGTGCATGGCGAGCTAATTACACATGATACTCAGTGATTCTTGACTGTGGGGCAGTATTATGTCATTTAAATGTCAGATGGATTTCTGATCACCAGGTTCTTTTTATTTAAAAAAATAGAGAGGAGAAGGTTGTGCTTTCTTGATCCAGTTAAAAAAGAAGAAGGAGGAAGATTTGTAAGAGCAGGTAGCCAGAATGAGTTTGGGCATTTTGAAATGACACTTCAATAAGAAGCAAATCTTCAAGACCCGCCACTGCAGAGCTGGCCTACATAGCAGAGGAAAAACTCGCAGCTAGCAAAGATCCCAAAGAGCTATGTACATTAATAGGCTCCTAAGAGGGGAATATTATCCCAATACAGCCTCAAGTTATAGACTGATCCTGAATAATCCACAAAAAGCACACACACACACACACACACACACACACAGCACACAGATCCAGTCAGTTCAGAGAGGATTTTTGATACAGAAAAAATGGCCAAAGCTTAAGGTAGCTGCATATATTTTACACAAATGCTGGAGACGGCTTCGTGCTGGGACAGGGAGGCAGGGAGCAGAAAAGTGGCAAATCTAATGACCTGTTTATTGAGCATTCATCCTGGTTCACTTAAGCAGAGGTTAGACTGTGTTTGACTATTGAGTATTCCTCTTGATTCTTTGCTTCCAAGGCTGTCATATGGCAAGCAACATTTCCTCCTGAATTTCTCTTGGTTTGTTTGTGTGATGGTTATACACCTTCCCATTAACCATTTGCTCCACACTTTATTATTTATTGCATTTACATCCTACCCTTTTCCTCCAATGAACTCAAGGCAGTGTACATGGTTCTCCCCCTTCCTCATTTAATCCCCACAACAACCCTGTGAGGTAGGTTGTGCTGAGCGGCAGTGACAGGCCCAAGGTCAACCAGTGAGCTTCATGGCCAACGTGGCGACCTGAGCCACAACTCCGCACCTGCTCTGTTTGGGATGCATTTTGGTGCATTTCCCCATCACATTTCTAAGCAGAAGATGGGCAGGTGTTGTTGTTTTTTGAGTTGATTTATTGCACTGGGACAACAGAGAGATTTAATCCAGTTTAACGGTGCAAACCTCTTCAGCTTTAGAAACCTTCGTAACAATAACTTACTCAGTTTTGGAGAAACAAAAAAACTCCAACAGCGAGAGAATGGCTGCAGAAAACTTGGAAGAATGTCTTGTTCACTGAGCTAACATACAATAGGAATCCAATATATGCAATATGTTTTGGCTACATTAGCAACAGCACTCCCAGCTTGAAGACTGGAAACAGAACAAACTTGCAAAATGGGGAGCTGAGACAAGGAGGCCATCGCAGCCTAGCAGAAGACCACTTGCAGTTACAATACAATTCCTGCAAGAAACCCAAATAGCATGGGCATCATCAAAATGTGTGCCTGCTTCTTGAAACCCAAACGTATGCATATGAGTGGCCAGAGACGCCCAGCCAAGTGTGACATGTGTAGAACATCCACATTTCAGATGCCGTCTGCGGAGGCATTTCCTGCAACAATATCTCAACTTGTTCCTGGGGAATTAATTCATGGGCTTTCAAACTAGGAGCTTTGTTGTTTGCTGCTAATATTCATAGCTAATACACTGGCTTGCAATCAAGTTAGAGAATCTATAGCGGCAATGCGGAACTTCCTGTTTTTGTTGGATTACAACTCCCATCTTCACTGGCAATTGGGCAACAGCAAAAGGACCACAAGCTCCCCATCCCTGATTTATATAAGTTGCCAGTAGGGTCTCCTGTGGATGAATACTCCTCCCTACATATCTACATGCAAACTAGGGGCTGAAGTCAACTCATGGTTTTCACTAGCCAAAGCCAATACAAGGACTCTTGCTTGTGCAATGGGGCTTTCCTACCTCTCCCAACTGCACACGCCTCACCCGTATCTGCTCTGTGGGGGCTCAGGTGTGCCCCCAGAACAGAGCATGGGGGGGAGGGGAAGGAGAGGGGAGTTCATTTCAGCAAGCAAGCAGAAATGCTCACACTGCCAGAATGATCTCCTTAGCACAACAATGGCTTCTACCCAAAATTATATGCACATAAAAAACTAGGTATCAAGGATAATGGTCAGCTATGAAGATAGAGTGTAAAAAGAGGTACAGTGGTACCTTGGTTCTCAAATTTAATCCATTCCAGAAGTCTGTTTGACTCCAGAACCAGTTCGAAAACCAAGGTGTGGCTTCCCATTGGCTGCAGGAGCTTCCTGCACTCAATCGGAAGCTGCAGAGGCCGTTCGGCTTCTGAAAAACATTCGCAAACCAGAACACTCACTTCCAGGTTTGTAGCGTTCAGGAGCCGATTTGTTCAGGAGCCAAGCCGTTTGAGTACCAAGGTATCACTGTAGTGGACTTTATTTAGATTTAGGTGGTAGATGCTATGTAAGTTTGATGTTACCCCAAACCAACTTTCCCCCCTCTCTTTCCTCTCCCCACACCCCCACCGTCAGATATGGGGCAAGACATTGCTCCTCCTTAGGCAGCAAACTCTGCTGTTGCTACACCCCACTCCTGTTATCATTGATTGATTGATTGATTGATCGATTGATTGATTGATTGAATGGTTGATATACCACTTAATGGCCAAATGGGTTTCTATGTGGTCTTCAAAAGATAAAAACCATTTCCACTAACATTAAAACAAACAAGGGTAATTTAAAAACACCATGAAACAAACCTATTAAAATATAAACATCCACAATTAAAATATGCAATAAAGCAATGTAATTTTTAAAAGCCCAGCCATTAAAACAGGAGACTCAGGTCAAGGGAATGCTTGTGTAAATGTGTGCTTCTTCCAAAGCCAGCAGAATACCAATGCAGATTCTCTCACTGCTGTCACTTTCACTCATCCCCTCCTCATCCCACCACCACCACCACTGTGCTTATTTTTGAACCATTTTGCTGGCAGCAGCCCTGGCGGCCTCTCTGCCTACACTGAGGAAGGGGGTCCCGTCAGCCCATTCAGTAGCCATGCCTAAGTAGAAGGGCGGCAGCAACAGTATTGACCATTGAGTTAAGTGAGCAGGAGCCCAGAAGATGCTAATCACACACATCGACGCAGGAGACAATGGTGGCAACCACCCTGGATGGCATTAAAAGAGGATTAGACAAATTCATGGAGAACAAGGCTTGCTGGTTCGTAGCCACCATGGCTATGTTCTGCCTTCACTGTTGGAGGCAGTATGCCTCCTGAATACCAGCTGGTGAGAATCCTAAGGGGGCAGGATGCTGTTGTGCTCATGTCCCTGCTTGTGGGTTTCCCATCTGGGTGGCCACTGTGGAAACAGGGTTCTGGAAGAGTTGGGCCATTGGCCTGATCCAGCAGGTTCATATTCTGTTCTTACGAATGAGGCCATTGCCTTGGTTTGCTGCATGAAAGTGCGGTACCTATGCCTGAGTTTTGCTTAACATCCCACCTGATGAATAGTTTTGGAGAATTCAAAAGTTTGGTCCCTATTTGGGGACAGTCTTAATAAAGATATTGTCCACCTATTGATTAGGGTGGAGTTGTGGTGCAGAGAGTGGACGATTCTTAAACACATTTGCAATTCTGATGTACAGATTGAGCCATGCACCAGCCATCCAATTCCCCATCTGTTGTGTTTATTCTGCAAGAGCTTCAACTTCCCTTCCAAGCTCCTGAAACACTTTGTTGCTTCTGTCATGTCCAAATGGACTTCCTCATTCTCTTATCTCAGATCGCCACTAAGACAATCTTTCAGCTGCTGCAAGGAAGAAAGTGCCACTGAAGTCAACTTCTGAGTAAGCATGCACATGACTGAGCTAAAAGGATCGCTTATCGCAGTTCACAGCTAAAGTTCCATTATTAAATTCCTGTTATTAAAGTTTCTTTTTTTTAATGCTACTTTTCTGAGCAAGGGTAAACATTGATTTCAAATCAACCACAGGCCAATCTTGGACGTTGATTGATTTTATTCCTGCTGTTTACTGGGAGGAAATATAAGCAGAGCCTGTTTGATCAGGTCAAAGCCTCATTTAGTCCAGCAATTTATTCTCCCAGGGGCTAGTTATATGCCTCTCCTGGCCCACCCAGCTAAGGAAGGCATATGTCTGATAATTCAGTCTTCATTGACAAAACAAGCACTTACAGCAACTCCCACAGTGCTCCAGATGTGTGCGTGTGTGCGTGCATGCATACACATACACACACACACACACACACTTCTGGCAACAAGACGGCTGTCCCTCAGATCTGCACCCTGAGGAGCAGTTGCACCAAAATGTTGCCCTCCTCTCTGCCAGTTTATATACCCTGCCCTGACAGGTTGCACACCTGCAACCTGAGACTTTTTTGGCATGGAAGTTGTCCCACTTCAAGCCCCTTCTGGTTCTAGGAAGGTGAGCAATCTACTGACCCGTCTGTCACTGGAACAGCCTCTGCATCTTCCACCACATTCCACGTGCCTTCCTCCATCTCAGAATGCTCTGACTCTTCCCCCTCCCCCTGCCCTTGCTCCTGCCTTGTGACGGGTGCCAAACCCCATAAATCACTGGTCCCCTCTGCTGGGTCAATCTCCTGGCCCCTTGCCTCTGTCACACACTCTGTGGAGCCTCTGAGAATTGTAGCTTTGTGAAGGGAATAGGTGTCTTTTAGGAACTCTCAGAACCCTTAACAAACTACAGTTCCCAAGATTCTTTTGGTGGAACCATGACTGTTTAAAGTGGTAGCAGAGTGCTTTAAATGTGACCTAGTTCAGTGGGACAAGCCAGAGTATTTCAATTCTCTCCCCCAAAGTCTTTGGGCCACACAAAATGAATGGGGCGAAGTAGATGGAAGAGCCAGATAGAACAGCAAAGGGAATGTTAACATAGCCATGGATACAATATTTTTGTCCCCAACAGTGGAGTTAGGTACTTTTACAATCTTGACTTAATGGTCAAATGGGAACTCCTCTTTAGAAGATAATGTGTGTTGCTTAATTTCTTTCTCCTTGTGGTACACCAGCACTGCTCATTCTGCTGAGCATTGCCCTGGGACGTCTGTCCCAAAGTGCTGCCTTGATGACACCAGTATTTGTCCCTCTCCTCTATTGAAAATGTGTAACATTCCTGTTTTACTTAATTACAATGAATTCCTGGTGGCAAGTGTCCTATGCCTTCCTAAGCTCGTTGGATAATTGTCCCCTGAATTCACTCCCCACCCCCACCAGAAATCTTTAAAGTCTTCCCACCTGGTTATTTTTCATGAATATATACCAAGCAGGCATCTGATTCTGCCCCTTCCCTTCCATCATATCATTCTCTTTTCATCAGCTGCTTCTGGTCCTAAGTTTGGAGACCAGGTAACAAAAGAGCACTGTGGAGTTCAAATATCATGAACTAATCTGCAGCAATAGAGGACTTGTTGAGGACTAGCCATTTAATTTTGACAGATGCTGGCCAGAAGGGGTTTGAAACACGTCCCCTTATGAATCTCATCCATTAACTTAAGTAGCAAGATCTCACCAGAAACTTTCATACCACTGTTAGATGAGCAACAGGGAGTTGAGGGATTATGATTTCTGTAAGTGAACACCATACAGCTTCCCTCCTTCAACAGCATTTGAAACAGGTAAGACGTTTAAGTTTGGATGAGGATCAATGAGAAAGGTAATTATAAGCACCTTCTCTAAGGAATGAGGAGTATTGGGAGCTACTGTGGACCCCTTTGCAGCCCAGCGATGACTCCTGGAGTAATTCCAGCAGTTGTAAGTGTGTAGAGATGTGCTGGGAAAACTTGTCAATAGAGGACCCCAGTTGCTTTGCAGAAGTTTCAGCCCAGAAAATTGCTCCTGAGCAAACATTAATGAACATTAAAAGCTGCTTTATACTAGATCAGACAATTTGTACATATAGGCTATAGCTGTGTATGCTGACCAGTAGCAGCTTTCCAGGTCTCAGGCAGAAAAGGACCTGTGATTCCGTTTAAAGAAACAACCTGGGGTCCCTTTCAGCTAGATATACTAAGGTTCAAACACAGAACCTTTTGCATTCATTCCATGTGCTCTCCTATGAGCTATTGGCTTATCCAAAAATGGTACATTCATTGGACACGTTTTCCTATGTATCTTCGTCCTTGAGAATCACTCCGGCAACCATCTCACTGCTGAAGTGTCCTCAATCCCAGCTGCTCTGTTGCATGAATAAACTAGCAGTTTAGGGTATGCAATATTTGTCATATATATATATGACAACTTTATAGAATAAGCACATACACAAAAAGGCAGCTGTCCCCAATGAAGCTTTGCTAGTAGGAAGAAGATAGGTGAGAAGGGAAAGAGAAGTGTGGCAAAAGCAATAAAGGGAAAAATGGGGCAAATGCATGGAATTCTAGAGTTAGAAGAGACCTCAGAGTTTATCTGTAGAAAATCCATGAGTTCAGCATCACCGATAAGCAGACATCCAAATTTTGCAAAAAAAGAGCACCTTTCATGAAGGAGAAACCCTCACCTCCTGAAATACTCTGTTCCAATGCTGAACAGCTTTTAGCACCAGGACATATTTCCTAATGTTTAGTTGCCATTCGCTTTGCTGGGATGTGAATCTGTTGGTTTGAGTCCTATACTCCAGATTAACTGGGGATGAATTAGCCCCATCTCTCTCAGATATTTGAAGACCTCTATTTATAATGCCTAATCTTCCCCTTTCTGGGATATTTAGACTTCCTTGAGGTTGGGAAAAGATGTTGGGGGGAGGCGGGCAGAAGTTAAGCATGGGATTTGTATAAATGATGGGTTTTAAGGAGGGAGTTGAAGAGGAACATAGGAAGGTGCCTTATACCGAATCAGACCATTGGTCCATCTAGCTCAGTGCCATCTGCACTGACTGGCAGCAGCTTTTGGGTGTTTCAGGAAGGGGATTTTCCCCAGCCTTACCTGGAGATGCTGGGGATTGAACCTGTGTCCTTCTGCATGCAAAGGCACTGAGCTATGGGCCTTCCCTGGGTAGCTCCATCTAAAGAACCTGAGAGAGAGAGTGTTCCAAGCATAAAAGACCCACAAGGGGAAACAGGTAGAGTTGCTGGGAGGCTCCTGCTTCTCTGCAAGACAATCTTTGCATGGAACTGAACATCTGAACGATGAGCACAGGCACTTGCCACAAATTAACCAGAGGCAAACAATCACTTCCCCTTCCTAGCTCAGAGGTTGTCCTGCTCATTGTCGCCGTGTCACCTTTTCAGCATACCTGTCCACATAGACACTATAGAAGCAGAGGCAGGGAGGCAGTAGGGTGCCCAAACCTCTGCCAAGCTTTGAGGGGCAGAGGGCAGAATGGAATCTCACTCTCCACCTGCTCTTGGCCTTCATTTAGTGGCTGAGCCGCCTCAAGCCCAGGAGGGCATTTTTGGATAACCCTCCACTTGTAACCCTGGATTCACAGCATGTTGGGTTGCCTGCGAATTCCTGTGCTCTGCTGCTCTCCTCCTTGGTAGTAAAAATGATCACCCATCAGCCAGTTTATAAATAGCAAATAATTGCTAGTGAAAGAACGGGTGATGCATTCTGAATCCTATTTTGGGTGTCTCGTTGCAGGGGGAGGCTGTTAATCACAAAGCAATAGCAGGATCTTGGACAAGGAGATGCTCCAGGTGCAGAGTCCATGGGAGGGGAAAGGAGGAGACCGGGAAGAGATGAGGAACCAGACTACCTTTGAGTTATACCTTTCCAGAGCAAAACAGCCCTGTCCATCTGAAGGCATCCTGGCAACTCCAGCCTTCATCTTGAAAGTTCCCCTGGCTATGCTGGGATCAATTTAATAGAGCTATTTGCTGCTGCTGCTGCTTCTCTCTTTTTTGTAATTGTTTTTATTTTATCTGCAAATGTCTTTCCCCATCTGTTTTGCTTTCATGTGTTGGGGATTAGCATAATGAATCAGACAGACCGAATGATTTGACAAACGGGTTGGGTCTTTGATTCTCTACTGTTGACACAATTTGGGGGGAGTGTGTGCGCGTGTGTGTATTTAGAATGGCAGGGAGAGGCAGCCAAAAGTGGGATTGTGCCCACTTGCCTGATCGCCAGCTTGTGAGTAGAGCAGCACCCATCAGCTTAATTTGCCATTGTGTGTGTGTGTGTTATATTTGATCTGAAACAGCCAGTTACTTGATAGATGCAAAGCATACAACACAACACAGAGACGCCTGTCCACCTCCCCATTGGCCTCATTGTAAAGTGAGATATTATATGAACCTCTGTCTCATCAAGACCCTCAGTCTGGGGTCCTTCTCTGCAATCTCCCTGCTGTGCTTCATCCTTTCCTTTCAATATTAGGGAGCAGGTTCTGTTTCTCAGGTGTGGAGGCTCATGCACCCGCGAGCTGAGATTGTGCCCGCTTTGTACCTGGAAACCAAGGAGATGCTCAAATGAAGGGGTGGGTGTGAGAGAGAAAGAGACAGTATTTACAAGCCACTGCGGAGAAGTTTGCCCCGTAAGCGCAACAGTTGGAAAGCGGTGGAGAGAGAGAGAGAGAGAGAGAGAGAGAGAGAGAGAGAGAGAGAGAGAGAGAGAGAGTTACCGGCAGACCTCGGAAGCAGAGTTAAACGCCACATTTGTTATTTTTTTGCTGTTGCTGCGCTTCTCCATCATGAGTGAGCTTCTGTGCGCGCGCGCCCCTCACCCAATCTTTTCACTATCTGGAGCTGCTCGGCCGCCGCTGCGCCAAGACATGTGCGTTAATCCCTGTGCAAGCATCTGGCTAACACACCAGGGGGTGGCTACTGGTTCTTACATGCCCTATCGAGGGGGAGAGAGCGCGCCCTGAAGAAAGTGGGGAGGCGGGGGACTCCAGCGACGGTGGTTTTGTAGTCATGGCTTTTAAGGCCAGCGGGAGTTCTTTCTTAGGCTCAACACGCGCACAGAGACTCGGGCAGGTGGCCGCCTCTGTGCTCGGGTTGAGTTCGCGGGTCGTCATCCCCCACCACACAACATCCGAAAAAAGGTGGTTAAGCCTCGCCTTACCTGGACATGTGTTCCCTCTGAGGTCGATGCGCTTTCTCCAGCCCCAGTTTGGTGAAGATGCCCACCAATACCATGACAGCCACCACCCCGCAGATGATGTAGACGATGAGGTTGGTTTTGTCTCGGGTGGGGTCGTGGGAAGGGTCGACGGGGCGGTTGGGCGTCTTGCGCCCGTTCAGCCAGGGGGGCTTGATGTAGTTGGTGCAGATATCCTGATCCAAGCGGCCCTTCCGGTACTTGCAGCAGAAGCGAAAGCCACAAGTGCCGCAACAGAAAGGGTATTCCCGGACGCTGCAATTGAACGACGGGTCCCACTGGCCCATCACGTCGTAGTAGCCCCTGCATTCCTCCGGGGTCGGGGGCGGCTCCGAGGCGTCGACGTGCTGCTCCCCTTCTCGGCTCTGGTTCCCCCCGGAGAGCATGACGATGCTGCCCAGGTGCTGCCCGGCTTTTTCCTGCGCCCGGCACAAAAGGGTGAGGAGGTCCGCCACCAAGTAGCTCAAGAACAGCCGGAGGAAGCCCTTCATCCTTCTCAGCGCCAGCCCGGGAGAGCTGAGGCTGTCTCCGCCGCCGCCGCCGCAACTCAAGCCGCTCGACGCTGCTGCGATGCGCCAAGAACTGCACATAAAGGGGGCTCTCGGGCAACCGCGGGGAGCCCGCTCGCCTGGCAGCCCGCGCGGGGTTTCAGCACCGTGGACAGCTCCGTGGCTTTCAGCGCGCTGGGAAGCTCCTAGCGGCCGCGCAGCTTTGCAGGGCCGCCTCTGCCGAGCATGCGGAGCTGGGGGGCGGGGGTGCCAGTCCCACCTCTTCTCTCTCTCTCTCTCTCAATCTCTCTCTCTTGTTCTTTTTCTCTCCCCCCCCCCCACCTTCCGAAGCCTCAGAGCGCGGGGAGTGAACTGCGCGCGGCACTTGTGGAGCGTGGAGGCAGGCAGGAAAAGCGAGCGTGGATGAGTGAGGGTCCAAAAGCACGGAGGAGGGTGGTCGGCGAGGGGGGCGGAAGGGGCAAGAAGCCTCTGGGGAAATCGGAGCGCGGGGTGGTGGCGGCGGCAGCGGCTGCAGAGCGGTTTTGCAGCGGTAGGTGGTTGCGAGGGGCGGGGAGATGGAGAAGCGATGGTGTCTCTAGAGGGAGGGGAGGACGCGACTCAACTGGCTTCGCTCTCCAGCTGCCATCCAGCTCGCACACCAACGGGCAGAGGAGACCTCGCCAAGTTCTCCAGCAGGGAAACTCTCTTGCTAGAAGACGCGCGCCCTCCCCGGCCTTTCCTGCAAGGAGGAGAGGGGAGGAGACTGCAGCTTCTTCCTGGCATGGGAGCCAGGAACAGTTTGCGTGTGCCAGGAACCTCACCGGTGGGAAAGCAGTCGGGCAGAGAATTAGGTCGGAACCTGGCTCTGAGCGGGTGGGGCAAGCAACTGGGAGATACAGAGCGAGCACATCCATAACAGATTCTGGGCCAGTTTGCTTTTGGGGGGAAGGGGTGACACAGCCAACCGCCCACTTCCTCCAGCATCTTTCAGAACCAGTCTATTCCAGGAGTGGGCAAACTCCAGACTTGAGGGATGGGAGTCTACTCTTTTTTCACTAGAAACCCAGGAACTGGAGCTCTGATAACGCCTCTTGCTTATCTGAACAGAAAGGAGTGGTGTAAATGTGTGTGTGTGTGTGTGTGTGTGAGCAGAAACTAGTTTACTGCACAAAGGTAAATATATATTTATTGTTCTGTCCTCTTTCCCTCTGGCCCTGGCCCTGCCTGTGGCCCTCAGAAGGCAAGGTCTATCTAGTCCACTATTTAGTCCAGAGTGTTTTCCACAACGGTCAGCCAAATGTCTCTTAGAAATGCACAGTCAAGACATGAGTGCAGCAGTACTGTTATGAGTTTTGGGAGAGTTCAGTCTGGATGATGGCCAAAGTCCCTTCCCATTCTTGAGGTCCTGTATCTGTGAGCGTAGAATGCATAAGAGCAAGCATGCCAAAGCATACCTTAATTAAAGTAGTGACTTTGGCTAGCTAGTTAGGCACCATAGTTAGCATAACCAAAGAAGATGCTCTGTGCCATAGAACAAATGGGTAGGCCTACCCCTTCCATTTCACCTAGCTGCTATGTAGGAGAACAAGAATCAGAGGGGTGTATGGTTGTGTGTGTGTGTGTGTGTGTGTGTGTGTGTGAGAGAGAGAGAGAGAGAGAGAGAGAGAGAGAGAGACCTGGAAGCAGGCTGGAGGGGGGGAGGGAGAGAAACCTGTTTTGTTCTTTGCTAAGCCTAAGCTGCACTTTGGGGGGAGGGTTCAAGAAACCTAAAGGGAAAGCAAGATCTAAGGGAATGTTAATGCTGTCAGCAGTTCCATCCTATGCTTAGCTTGTATACGTGTGGAAAGAAAACCATACATCCTAAAGACACCACAGTCTCTGCTGACCTTCATTCTCTGGAAACTGAGAATGCAACCCCTCTCTGCAGCCCCTGGAATCAGAGATTGGGTTGGTGTGTAATAGTACTCTCCCCCAGCAACTGATTTTCAGAGGCATGTTGCCTCTGTTCCTGGAGGTGACAAATACATATAGCTATCATGACAAGTAACCATGGATAACCGTTTCGGGAAGGGCCATAGGGCAAGTAGCAGAGCATCTGCTGTGCATATAGAAGGTCCCAGCTGCAATTCCTAGTGTCCGCGGGTAGTACTAGCCAAGACCTCCATCTGAAATCTTGGAGAGTCACTGCTGAGACAATAGACGGATCAAAGGTCTAACTTGGTATAAGACTTATGGTCCTGTTCTCCATGAACTTGTCTAATCCTTCTTTAAGTCCATCCAAGCTGGCTGCCATCACCACATATTGGGGCGGCCAATTCCATAGTATAACTATGCACCGTGTGAATAGTTTTTTCTGATCCTATATCCTGAATCTCCCAGCACTGAGTTTCATTACATGAATCTGGTTTCTAGTAGTGTGAAAGGAGGAAAAACATCTCCCTATCCACTTTTTCTACACCATGCATAATTTAATACAGACCTTTATCATTACCCCCTCCACACACACAATTTTTCCCCAAAGGTAAAATTTGATTACCTTTCATCGTAGGAGAGTTGTTCCAGCCCCTTGATCATTTTGAATGCCCTTTTCTGCAGATGTTTTGCAAAACTCTGCACACATGTGGGAGGGATCCAAGACTGCCTTTTTGTACTTTGCATGCAGATTGCAGCATCTGGGCTTGATGAGACATGTGACCCTCACCAGTTCCAAGCCTACTCCAGCTGAGGAATCACACACCTCCTCCCAGAGCTAGCGAGCCCCACCTGGGCAGCTAGGGAGCTGGGCTGTGGGTCCTTGCCTAGAGCACCACTCCTGCTGCTCCCTATGCCTCAAAGCCAGCTATGTTCATGGGGACAGGGGCTCCTCTGGCTCTGGTGATGGGTCCTCTTGCTTTGATTCCTGAACATTGACCCACCCCCCATCTCCTCGCGATCTTCTCTCACCCTGTGAGTACTTCCTTCCCCATCCTCTATTTGCCCTGGTTTGTCCCAGTCCCAGTTACATCCGTCACCGGGACCCTCTTCCTCCTCCCTGTTGTCCTGCCAGTTCATGACACACTGTAGACGGCACTAAACCAGATAGACCAATGGTTTGACTTGGTATTGCACAGTTTTCTGGCTTCTTGGGGTCCTAGGATGTGACCTGAAGCACATTATGTTAGAGGGGGGTTTTTCCCCACTGGTTGCAGATGACAGAAGCTATGACACCACGAGACCGGCGTAAAACCAAATCAAATAAAGGTTTTATTATAAAACAACAAAGCTTGTGGGTGTTTTTCCTTGCAGGCAAAGTCAAACTGCAACTTTTCCTCCTTTTATAGTCATGACCAGCTGTAACCAATCTGCCCAGAGCTCACAGAAACTGTTCTTAAAGGTACAAACATCCTTACTGTTTCTTTGCAGAATGATTCCCAACACATTATGCAGAAAACTGGACTAAAACTAAGGAGATGTCAGTGACTGGATAAGAGACCTCATGTATTTGACCATGAGTTCCATAATGGAAAAAAGCTGTGTATAGATGTTGAAAATTGGGAGTTGAGGACTGTTATCAGCCCGAGAGCCACATTGCTTTCCAGGCAGCCTTCCAAGGGCCACATGTCAATGGTGGGTGGGAACACCAGCAGAAGTGGGCAGAGTGATGAATGTACATTTTATGTTTGTCCTGTAGGCTAGTTTCGCTTTCATCCATCCAGACAAGCGAGAGGCATTACCAGGGTACATCCCAGTCAGGCAAAAACATTCTGGGAATGAAGCACAACCAGTGAGGGTTGCAACATGGTAGTTCTGAGGGTCTGTGGTTCCCCATTCATGTCATCAAAGTAATGCAACATTCTACCGTACACCACAACATACAAAATTGCACTGGGAGAAGACCTGTTCTCCAGCATCTTCTCTAATGTCTGCCTCTCACAGCCAGCCGTAAGATCAGAAGCTCAGACTGCGTATTTAGCCCAAGGCAGTTGGTACCAAGCTAAACCTTGGCAGAAGCTGGTTGCTCTCGCCACCCTTTTCTCTTGCATCTCAGATTTTGAACTGCTGATGTGTCTGGATCTCTCCAGCCAACTTCCTCCCCGAAATCATGAAGGTGCAGTAAATAAACAATAAGGTGATTCAGAGGACAAAGCAGACGTCTGAAATTGGAGAGGGCTGTAGTTAGCTAATTGCCATTCTTGGTCTCCTCTTAAAAATAGGACTGGAGAGTACAGTGATGATTCCACTAAACATTTTGACAGCCAGCCTGACATTATTGGCCAGTGGGTGAGAAGCAAAGCCCAGGGACTCTAAAGCAAAAGAAAAACAATCCATTCCATCTCAGCGCCAGCCCTCCGTGGCTTTAATATTTAATTCTTAAAACTGTTACCTCTTTCCAGCTCTCCTTGGAACACCTGTCTTTACTCCCTTGCCAATACCTTTGCTTCTCTGCCATTATTTATTATTTAACCATGTAAAGCTCTTTGGGAGAATGTTAGCACTAAATATACTGAAAAGAACGAAGTAACAGCGTGAAGGTGGAAGCTCCAGCCTTGCAGAGCACTTAGATCTGAAGCCCAGAAAAGTTCTTGCACAGTATCACAGTGCTGCATTCCTAAGATGGAGGTTGCTGGTTATAACTTTGGGAAATTTCCAACCCTTTCCTTACATGCTCCCTGTTCTCTTTCCATTCTTTGAAAAGTGTTGGATGAATTTTGTAAGTAGGATAGAATATTTTATTTTAACATTTATCCTCCCTTTTACTCACGTGTGTGAGCAGAATGTTTAAAGTATTCAGTTTAATGCTTAGAATTCATTCGCCTCGTTAGTAGAGTTTAAAACACTATGCTTTGCAGCATTAAATGGAAAACTTTGAGACTAGACTGCATAGCCTTCTTGGTATTTATCCATGCTGTGGTAGCAGACTGGGTTTCCCCCTCTCCCTCTCTTAATAAAAGAATCACACAACAGGCTGTAAAGCAAGCATAAAAACAGCATTTGCTTACATAAGTCCTGCACTAGGTTCCAGC